TCTCTCTCTTTCTTTTTCTCCTTCCCTCTCCTCTCTCCTTCCTTTCTTCCCCCTCCCTCCCTCTCTAATAAGTGAGAATATAGGTTCTGGAGATACCTTGAATAGAATTACAATCTGATAAGCAAAGCTGGGAACCATGGGGGTTCAAGTGGTTTAGGACTTTTCTTCCCCTTTCTTTCTTCCTTTCTTTCCTTCTTTCTTTTTTCTTTCTTTGTTTTTCTTTTTCTTTTTTCCAAAAAGGGACGTTTGAGTGACATTTCTAGAAATCTGTAGGTTTGCTGCTAGAAGAGACAAAGGCCTAAAGCAAATTTCATTGTGTTGTAATTCTTGATTCTCAGCCCACAAAAAGCTCATTTTCTTTCCCACGAGTCCTAGGTTTCTGATACTGTGATAAAACTACAGGCCCAAAAGCAACCTGAAGAAGAAAGGTTTTGTTTTGCTTACAGTTCCACATCACAGTCCATCACTGAAGGAACTCAGGGAAAGAACTCAAGTTAGGAACCTGGAAGCAGGAAGTGAACCAGAGGCCATGGAAGAGTGCTGCTTACTGGCTTACTCGCCATTGCTTGGTCAGCTTGCCTTCTTTTCAAATCAGACCCACCTACACAGGGGTGGCACTGCCCACAGTGAGCTAGACCTTCCCACACCAATTATCAATCAAGAAAATGCATCACAGGCCTGTTGAGGTCTCTTCTCCTAGATGACTCTAGCTTGTGTCAGTGGACATAAAACTAACCAGTATCACCTCTCCATAGGTTTCCTTTTTTCTTGCCTTGCCTTTCCTAACTCCTTAAACTCTCTAGAAAATAAAATTACTTTTGCTGAAAAGAAACATTGTAGCAGGAAGCGAGGAATGTATTATATACCATGTATATATTATGTTTCATATACCACATTATATATTGTAACCAACACATCTCAGCCATGGCTGCTGTTTTAGACAGGCTTGGAGGAACTTGGTGTTAATGGTCACAGCAAAAAGCATTGCTTGTAGTGTGTTAATCAGGACACTATTAGACCGGTGCATGACTGCCCTTCCAAAAACAATTGCCCTCAGCTGTCCAGAGCTACTTTGCCTGGGAAGTCTCCTGTCACTCTCCTCCTTGACACTCTGTCCTCTTCCTTCTCTGATGCATTACTGCTCTTGGGCAATGGCTGTCCCGAGTGCTGATGTGCATTTATTTCAGAGACTACCTCTCCTAGGAGAAATCCAAAGCTAGACTCTGCTCTGTTGTTTCATTTAAAATGAAAAGTTCTTTGAATAAAACACACCTGTCTTAGAGTCCCAAGTCACCAGCCTATTTCTCCCCAGCTAGAAGTTGAGGGGATGATATTATAAGGCTCTGAGCACAGCCTAACTCTTGAAATTTCAGGAGTATAGCTTGCTAACCTGCTGAGGATCCTCTATGCTAGACTAAGGATGTCATGCTGAACAATGAAGAAAGGTCAGGAGACAGACCAGGGTTCTAGAGCAGTGATGTGGGATGGGCTGTGACCACTGAGAGCTTTAGATGAACTGTATTTGTAGGTGTGCGAACAACTGAGGGGTGTGAATGGTGAGGGGTGAAAATGAGGCCTGAATTATTTTTTCTAATTGAAGAAACTTACACAAAGTACCATAAAAAAATCGTAAAGAAGCCAGACTCTTTAATTTCCCAGCTGCACTTCATGCCTTGTTACAGGTACACTGGTCCAGGACAAGAATGCCAGCAATACCTGAGGCCTGCCATTGGATCAAATGTAATTATTTTGTAAGTGGATAAATATCAAACTGAATATGTTCATTTAAAAAAAAATAAGAAGAAAGGGAGAAAGAGAGCAACTTTTCTCCATCTTCAAATTTCTATTTAGAAACATGTAAATTTTTTATTACAGTAAATTTGTATGTGACAAATAAGAGTTCATCTTTGTGTCGGGCATGGTGGTGCATGCCTTTAGTCCCAGCACTCAGAGGCAGAGGAAGGTGGACCTCTGAGGTCAAGGCCAGCCTGGTCTACAGAGTGAGTTCAGGACAGTCGGTGCTAAGAATGATCTTATTGTTGCAGACTATTTTGTGTCTCCATAAAAAAATCAGGTCAGTTAAGAACCATTCTATTGTTTAAAAAGCACATTAATTTAGCCAGGTAGTGATGGTGCAGGCCTTTAATGTTAGCACTTGCGAAGCAGAGGCAAGTGAATCTCTGTAAGTTCGAGGCTAGCCTGGTCTTCAGAGCAAGTTTCAGGACAACCCGAGCTACACAGAGAAATCTTCTTGAGTCCACCTCTAGACAGGGCATCAAGTGAGGAATGGAGTTGCCATCCTGTAGTCAAAACTCTGACCCATAATTGTTCCTGTCTGAAAGAACTGCAGGGATGGAAATGGAGAGGAGCCTGAGGAAAAGAGGGTCCAGCAATAGCCCCAAAGTGGGATCCAGCTCAAGGGGAGGCCCCAAGGCCTGACACTATTACTGAGGCTATGGAGCACTCACAAAAAGGGACCTACCATGACTGCCCTCAGAAAGACCCAACAAGCAGCGGAAAAAGTCAGATGCAGATATTTGCACCCAAACAATGGACAGAAGCTGTTGACCCCTGTGGTCAGATTAGGGGAAAGCTGGAAGAAGCTGAGGAGGAGGGCAACCCTGTAGGAGGATCAGCAGCCTCAACTAATCTGGATCTCTGAGACCTCTCAAACACTGGACCACCAACCAGGCAGTATACACCAGCTGATGTGAGCCACCCCAACAGAGGACTACCAGGTCTGGGTTCAGTCAGAGAAGATGTACCTAACTCTCAAGAGACTGGAGGCTTCATGGAGTTTAGAGGTCTGGTGGGGTGGGAGTGTGGGAACATCCTCACAGAGACAGAGAGCGGGTAGGAGGTATGGGATGTGGAACAGTCAGACGGTGGACCAAGAGGGGGATAAAATCTGGAGTGTAAAAAAAAAAAAATCTTTTTCTCTCCATTGTTTATTCCTTGTGTTATCCTCACATCTCAGAACCAGCCTACTTAAAATTCCAAAACAACGGATCATTTTATATATTTTGCCTATAATAGAAGTCACTAGAAAACTTCTTGTTGTTGTTGTTTTAATGTATGAAGACTCAGGGCCACTGAGAAGCAAGAGGTGTTTCTTCCAGGAGTAAATATGAGGAAGAGATCAGGTGTACACACATAGGCATATTGAACATCTGAAGTCCTTAGTCTCCACAAGGACTCAAACACCTGAGTAAAAACACAGATGCCTTGGAGTACCAGTTCAAGACAGGCTCTGGCCTGCTGTCAGCTTTATCTATAAGATTTCAACAGTACAGGGAGGGTGCCTTGTACTGTATGCTGTATGGGACAATGCAGTGGAAAAAGAACCCTGGAAGTCTGACCTCAGCCCTCAGGGGGTGGGGAGAGTTTAAAAATAATATCATTACTTCAGTGTGAGCTGCTCCTGGATGGAGGCATAAGGCTACAGGTGACCTAAAGATGCCGATAAACTTTGTCCCTTCTCAGACTGAGGAATAGCATCTTCAGCATGGCTGTGATGGTTACTTAAGCATCAACCTCGGTTCTCAATTGTTTGGTTAACACCTGGCTAGATGCTGCTGTTAACATAAAGGATATTAACCCCGGCAATGGATTCCTTCCCCATCCAGTAGGCTTTATGACCAAAGATAGGTCTCCTTAAAAAAAAATTATTTTGCCTCAAATCCTCAACATCTAAACACTGACTGTTTCCAGTTTGCTGGAAAGTTCTGTAGATGTGAGACTCAATCTCTGTGATCCTGTGAGCCATACAGACATACCAAGCAGAGAAAGTACATGCACGCACATGTGTATGTGTGTGTGTGTGTATGTTATAAGGCTATTGTATGTTATACACACACACACACACACACACACACACACACACACACACACGGTTCTTTTAGTCTGTGCAACCCCCAACAATCACAATAATAGTTATTTAATTCTCCCAGAAATCCTGAGATACTAAACATACAATGGCTGTACCCTACATAAATGGTAAAAGTTGGGCCAATCTGCCCAGGAAATTAACCACACTATCTTCATTCTACAATGCAGCAAGCTAGACTGGGTTGTTTTGTTTTTTAGCAGAGTACGTGTAGAATTATTAAGGAAAAATAAGAAAAAAACTCTTGTTGAGGGAAAAGTACTGAAAAGATTCTGGTTTTAAACACACCTTTCTTTACCTTAGTAAATTATTATTTCAGATAAAACATAAAAAGTGTAAAAAGTACCATGTATATAATTTGTACCTAATCTGCAAATGTTAAACTTTAAAGATAAGAATTACTCAGTTACATTTATAAAAATCAATAGAATTTGAGGCCTGTAGAGCAGCCACTGGAAATGAAAAGGAACCCAGAAACAGCAAAGCAGTATCAGGACCAGGTACATTTGATAATTAAATTTATTTAAGAAAAATAACAAGTATCAAGTACAACCTTTATTCACTTGAATTTCACAGTAGGTATTCCAAATATTTGATTTTTGGTTTATGGTAATTATGTAAAAACCCCCACTTTCAATAATTTTTCAAAAAAACTCACAGTTGATTTAAGATCATTCATTTAATAATTTAACTTCATAAAAATGAATACTAAATTGTGACATTGTAAACATGATTAAAGTATATCTTAAGCTACCAAAGAAAGAAAAAAAGGGAAAAAAAGCAACATGATCCCCAAAACAGCACAACTCTCATTTCCTTGGACACAAATATAGCAAAATTACCAAAATGATACTAACAGAACAACCTGTTAGCTAGAAGATAAACAGAAGACAGTCCTTAAGGGGAGATCCCTGGAAGATTACAGCTGCAAAATCATTGGGGCCTTAGAACGTTCACTGTGAAGTTCTGCAGATGCTCCTTAACGGTCTGTCCAGTTATTCAGAAGATTCGACCCTTGGATGCTGCTCCTGATGGCAGCACTGGAATGCCAGCTTTGACTCGAACTTTAAGGGTGCTGTATCAACAGTGCACAGAAAAAGAATGTCAGTGATCTCCACATCCTACCCTGAGAGCCTGAGAACTCAGGCTGAGATTCGCACATTCACACATGCCAGCAAAGTGAGGACTCTAGAGGTGACAGTGAGGCTGCTTTTATATTTTTTTTGTTTAATTTTGGTGATGTGGGTCAGAATGGAACTGGGGATGGCTCTAGATGGGGGTTTATGGTGGGTGGATGAAGGAGTTGGAAGTCAGATGCCCTATACTGTGTAAACCCAAGGTGTTGGAAGGTAGTATAGATGATGTCAAAAGTGGTTCAGAACTCAATTATTGAATGTTCTCAGAGAGGCTAGGAGATGTTGGGTGGCTTGGAGTTCTTGCTTGCTTAGAGGGGTAAAGACCTGCTGATAAGCTGATCCTAGACTGAGGGGACAGTATGTCGGTCATCTTGTTACTCGGGGACTTGACAAGCACACTTACATAAGTATGGATCTCTGGTGAGGCCACTTTTTACAAACATGACACCCACTCTCACTACTAGGCACATGCTGGCTGAGAAATACTTAAATGCTCAGTACCTCAGGGAAGTGGAAATCAAAACTACTTCGAGATTTCATTTTATATGATATTAGCCAAAGAAGTGGATACACACCCTTATCCCTAAACCCAGAAGCTAGCTCCATTTGATAGCCACTTGCTAATGGAAAATTAGTTTTCTCTATGAGAGTGTCATTAGGGAAACAAGTAACTATTTTTTAACCTTACAGGTCCTTTGCATATATATTACGCCTTCCAGTTTGAGGTTTCATGGGATTCCTATTTGGCAAATGAGTGTGTTACTGTGTCTACATGCATTTCTAGTCCCTTTTCTTTGACTCTTTTTTTTCTTTTTTGGTTGTTTTGTCACATTCTGACTTGTTTCATTTGATTTATTTTATTTTATTTTATTTTACTTTTAGTCCTTAGATGCCTGATTAATTTTTAACAAATGACAGAAAGATCCAATTTGAGGGGAGATGGGGTGAACTGGAAGGAGTAGGAGGTCAGGAAACTATAACTAGAATATATGATATGAAAAAAATCCATTTAAAAAAAAAGATTAGTAGATGTTGGGAGCCGACTCCTAGCCGAAAGTGGCTATCATCTTTGCAGCCATCTCGAGCCGTATACCCTGACAAGAGACTTGTTTTCAACAGCCTACAACAGCTGAGCACACTCTGATAAACATCTTGTTTTTCTCACATATCTTGTTTTGCTGTTTAGTGCCACCCACACCTAGGCCCACGTGGTCTCCTCACTGCTAGCTAGATGCCCGTGATAGCCCGGCTGCAAGGCACATGACGTAGTGCCTTCAGCTGTGCTTCTCCATGAGGGCAAGGCATGTGGTAAAGGCTATAAATACCCAGGATTTCCTGTCAATAAACAGACTTGATCAGACTCCCTGTCTTGTCTCCATTCTTCACATCTCCATCTCCACTCTCTCTCTTGCTAGACCCTGACCCGTGGACCGGAGCAGTAGAATGGGCCGTGACAAAGTGCCCCCCCCCCCCGAACGTGAGGCAGCTCGGGCAGCTACAAGTAAACACATGCATACACACACATGCACACACACAAAACTCACCGCTGCCTTCAAGGCTTGACCCAGGTCTTCGAGAAGGTCCTCTTCATCCTCTAGGCCCACGGAAAGTCGGATCAGTGTGTCACTGATCCCGACGGCAGCTCTGTCCTTCTCAGGCACGGAGGCATGGGTCATGATTGCTCTGGAAGAAAATGTGAGCAGATTCTGTGGTTGGACTGTGGCAGTGGAGGAATTTTCCTGGCTCAATATCAAGTTATCTCTAGTTCTTTCTGCTCCTATTTTGTCAAACTTGCCTCTTCTTGTCATGATTTTAAATGAAAACTGGGACTTCTTATTGACACTACTTACATGTCATAAAAATGAGCTGAACACAGCAGTCTGGTACCCAGGCAGGGGAGAGAACAGCAACCTGTGGATTTGACCACCTGACGGAATAAGGCTTTGCTGAGACCAAAGTGCTCTTAGGATGCTCTTTACGATAAACATCCTTCTGAGGCAGATCAGTGATAGACAATCCCAGACCTCTACCAGCGAGCAGCAGGCAACAGAAATTTTAGTCAGGACCCAAGGAAGAAAGGCCTGAAGGATTTTCCAAACTAGAAGCTAATCATCCTCAACGGATGTAAAAATCAGGCTCCCGCTGCATCATGGGAGCCCATTCGGTCATACACTGTAGGGAGAACCTGGGAGAAATGAGGTATTCTTCTTATTTTAGAGGATTAAGGAGGCAATGAAGAAAAGCAGACTAACCAACCCAAGAAGTCCAGGCAAGAAGGTTGTGGAAGGTCAAAGGAGGGTCTGAGTAGACTGAGAACCATGCAGAGGGGGCTCAGCTCAGTCACACATAAATCCAATGTGTGTACTGCTGCCAGTATGCTTCTTTCCCTGCGCCCTTCAAGCGAACCAACAACCCTATTCTTTTGTTGCTCTAAGGAAGATTTTTTTTTAATTTAATTTTTATGTATGTGTAGATGATTGGTGGGAGGAGCATAGGATGTGTGAGGAGGTTGGAGGACAACTTTGTGGAGTCAGTTCTCTTCTTCAACATTCACATGGGTTCTGGGATTGAACTCAGGTTGCCAGTCTTACGCAGCAAGTGTCTTTATCTGCTGAGCCATCTTGCTGGACCCTCTAAGAAACTTCCAGGTTGTTGTTTTTGGTTTTGGCACAAAACCAAAAGATGGAACTACAGTTGAGAAATGCCTGCATAAGATTGGCCTGGAGGCGAGCTGATGGGGAGTTTTCTTAATGAATGGGCTGGGCCCACCCACAATCATTAATTAAGAGGTGCCACCCCAGGGCAAGAGGTCATGAGACATAAGACAGAAAGCCGAGGAAGCCATGGGAAACAAGTCAATAAGCAGTACTCCTCCATGGCCTCTCCATCAGCTCCTGCCTCAAGGTTTCTGTCCTGAATCATTCAGTGATGGAGGTGTGACCTGGGAGTTGTAAAGAAAGATATACTCTTTTCTTCCCAAGTTGTTCTTGGACATGTATTTATCATAGCAACAAAAATCCTAAGGCAGGAAGTTTCAACACACTAACATCCTTCTGAAAATGCTCTGTCCCAGCAGGTTCTTTCTTCCCTAAGGGAGCAGGCGCAGGTCCAAACAGTCCTGGGCCTCAGAGAGTAATACTCTTAGGAATGAATAATATTCCAGGGCCAACAGATGTCTCAACAGGTAGAGACCATGAACCGGACGGTCTGAATTCCACCTCCAGAATATACAATGTTGTCTTCTGATCACATGCATGCCTTGGCACACATGTCCCCTCCCCCACACACATATCGGGCTTGCACACACAACAGTAACAAAAATTAAGAAAAACATCCCTTCGAGGGCTGGAGTGGCACAGGTTTTTAATCGTAGTTCTGGGAGGTAGAAGCAGGCAGGTATCTGTGAACTGGAGGCTGCCTGGTCTTCACAGTAAGTTTGAGGACTGGCAGAATTACATAGTGAGTCCCTGTCTCAGAACAAGCAAACAAACACCCCAAAACCAACCAAGTCCTTGCATTCCCTTTCAAGGTAACCTGAGCTTTTGAAGCCCTAGCTGTCCTGAACTCACTATGTATCAGGTTGGCCTCAAACTCACAGAACCTGTTTTCACCTCCAGAGTGTTGGGATTAAAAGTATGTAATACCAGGCTTACCATTGTTTTTTTTTTTTTAAATTAAAGAAATGTACTGTTGATTTTTTATAATAAAATAAGACATAATAAGATAAAACAAAAATTAACACAGAGCAGAACAAAATAAACAAAGAGAAGGAAAAGAGTCCAAGAGATGACATAGAAAACAGAAATCTACTCATTTGCACACTCAGGAACCCCATAAACACACTAAACTGAAACACACCACACACACACACACCACACACACACACACACATACACATACACACACACACAAAGGACCTGTAGGGTAAAAAGAGAAGGAAAAATATATAAATAAAATAATAATTATTTTTGAAAAGGTACCTTTTTTTTTTTTTAAAGGAAACACTTGGCACAACTTTACGAGACAAGGAACCTCTGAAGATGCTACTGAACTTTTCTGTTGGCCATCTACTGGTTTTTAAATCATCTACATTACTTTTTATTTTTTATTTTTTTTTTAAGATTTATTTATTTTACTTATGAGTACACTGTAGCTGTCTTCAGACATACCAGAAGAGGGCGTTGAATCTCATTATGGATGGCTATGAGCCACCATGTGGTTGCTGGGATTTGAACTCAGAACCTCTGGAAGAGCAGTCAGTGCTCTTAACCATTGAGCCATCTCTCCATTACTTTTTAAATGTGTAGAAATTTCATGTAGCTTCTATCTTTAAAGTATTTCATAAGCATCAGTTAAAGTATGTAAACTTATTTTAATTAGAGTAGTAAACTTATTTTAATTAAAGTATGTAAACTTATTTAAATTTAATTTTAAATGCACACTGTGAGAGTTCAGAAGGTCAAATCTTCATGGACTGAGGACCACGGAAGGGAGACTTAGCTCTACTTAGTCCCAATACATGAGACAAAGCATAAAACCTAAGTAGAGAAAAGAAAAGAGGAGGAAGGGGTGAGAAGGAGGTAGGGAGGTAGAGAGAAAGGGAAGGGGAGAGGAAAGGAGGAAAGGAATGTAACAGGTGACTAAAGTAATCCTAGTGATAGACTTATTACTATGTTATAACATGAGCTAGGACATTAACTCAGCCATTTCCCCGACACTCTCTAAATTGAGATTAAGAAAGAATAATGTCCTGAGAAGTTTTATGCCAACTTGACACAAGCTACAGTCATCTTAAAGGAGGGAAACTCAATTCAGAAAGTGCCTCTATGAGATCCAATCTGTAGGGCATTTCCTTAATTAGTGATTGATGGAGGAGGACCCAGCCCATTGTGGGTGGTGCCATCCCTGGGCTGGTTGTACTGGGTTCTATAAGAAAGCAGGCTGAGTAAGCCAGGAGGAGGAAACCAGTAAGCAGCACCCTCCATGGCCTCTGCATCAGCCTCTGCCTCCAGATTCCTGCTCTGTTTGAGTTCCTGTCCTGACTTCCTTCAGGTATGAACTATTATGTGGACGTGTAAGCCAAACAAACTTCCTTTCCAACTTGCTTTTGGTCATGGTGTTTCATTGCAGCAATGGAAACACTGACTAATATCCTAACACTGTATGTAGTGTTTCTAAGGCTACCGAGTTAACATATGGTATCTGGCTGGGAGGCTAACCTAGTGTGCAGACTCTGATTCCTCTCCTGCGTATTGCAGAGCTGTTCCAGTAACAACAACACGGGGAAGCCCAGAATGAAGGGTGATCAAGCAGTCAAGCCCTGACCTAAATTCATGTATCCATACTCTTAAACCCAATCCCTAATAAGTCAGGAAATATTTATTTAAAGAGAAAGCCTTAAAGCAATAAACATTATCTTCTGTGAGGAACAAACTGATTGCACGTGAGTGTGCTCTCTTGTGCATGCACAACCTCTCTCACACATTTCCCTGATTGCACACATGAGAGTGCCTTTTGTGCATCCACACCTTCTCTCAGGCATCTTCCTGAAAACTGGGGAAGAGCCATGCCATCTAGTGTATTTCAAACCTGACTTAGGTCTATTTCTTTACATTTCTGACTCTCCTTACAATTGTAAACGGGAAATACGTCTACATGTCTGGAAGCACTTTAATACTGAGCTTCCGAGACACAGTCATTGATGAATGTGTACAAAACTAACACAAAAACATCTCATGAGAGCTAAGTATGGTGGTGCACACGTGCAAGCCAAGCATTTGGAGTTAGATACAAAAGGGTCAGTCATTTAATGTCATCCCTGGCTACAGGACAAATTTGAGAACAAACTGAGCTGTGTGTCCCACATCAAAAAAATAAAAACAAATCAATTAACCATAATCATGTTCATTGATAACAAGTAAACACTAAAAAGCAGTGATGCCATGTTCCTTTGGTCACAGATGTAATAAACAGTCACGTTGCTTGGGACTCCAAAAGGATAGACCAACAGTCAGCAGTAACTAATATTAAACCTATCCTATACATGCAGATGTACTGCAGGAATTGGCAGAATGTATCAGAGGTTGCTGCACTATTATGTGCACACACATTGGAGGCTGAGGTTCACCTCAGTCCATCTCCAACAATGAATCTGGAGTAGCAGAAGCCATGGAGGAAAGGCAGGAAAGGCTGTGGCAAGCGAGTATGGAGACGGCCCACCATTTTGCATTGCTGCAATGGGTGAATCCCAGAAAGGCCCAGCCCCAGGAACTTCCTCCCAGGATTGCTTATTGCTGCTGCTGAGCCTTCTCATGGTCATTGCTGTATCCTCATTTCTCTGACATGATGGGATTGGGCAGAGAAAGACCCCTTCTGCCTATAGTCTGTTACAATTGATTCCTGGGCATTAGCTCACCCTATTGGGCAAATTTGTTGCAGATCAATATGAAGATGAACTTTCATGAAATAATGCTGTTTAGATGAATTGATGATTTTATAATTTCTGATAATGATTTTATAGAACTCCAGAACTGACTCAAGTAATTTTAGGCTGCCTGTAGAATAAAAAGCTGCAAATAGAGTTTTGTGTTGTGATCTCATTGCACTAGGAAAAGAAAGTAGGCTTGGAACAAATTTACTGTCAAGGAAAACACTCCTTCTAGATTAGAACTGAAGTCAGTAATCTCTGTAACTAAAGGTCATAAACCAGGAATGGGCAATTTATTATAGGTGCAAGGACAAAAAATAAATGATTGACTAGTTTATCCATATAAGACTTCAAAATAACAAGACACAAGACAGATGATTTGCCTCTTGACAAAAACCTTGCTAACTTATGACATAAAAACTATTGCTATAAACTTATAATGAATTCGTGGAGCTAAGAATGTTTAGTCAGATATGACACTTCGTGGAAAGACATGTAAACAATTATGCTGTAATTCCATAAACCTTACCAACCTATGACATGAACTATTGCTTTAAACTTACTATGAACTTATGGAATGTAAAAGTGTTTAGAAAACCATGTAGTCAATTATCCTGCTATAACGATTCTACCTGATAATTGCTTTTATGGCTATGAGGTAATTTTTTTATATAGACAACTTTTGTCTGAGAAGGTAAAAAAGCCTGAAGGAAAAAAGTAGAGGTAGAGCCTTTTCTGCTTCACCCAGATTGTGCGTGTGTGTGTGTGTGTGTGTGTGTGTGTGTGTGATTTTTTTCTTTCCCTTTCTCTCTGGCTGGCCCCTAAAGAGTTAAGAATTCTGAGCTTCTCTCATAGAGAAGTGCCAGCCCAAGTAATTTTCTTTTCCTAATCCCCTGCTGCTATCAGCAGGAGTCAATTGCCAGAAGCCATCAACTCTGGCCCCAGAAGAGCCAAAGAGAGCCAAGAGCTAACAGCTTTTGGTCTGTCTGATGCTACATCCCACCTCAGTTTACCTGGGTATCAAAGCCATTTTTGACATTTTGGAGCTCACTGATGTCACTTCATTGGCTAACCAGCAAGCCTTTGACATCTCCCTCTCTCCTTCTCCCCACCCCTGGGATTACAGGCATGCCCCTCTATGTCCATCTTTTTACATGGCTACCAGGAAGCCAAGTTCAAGTCCTTGTGCTCGTGTTGCAAGCATTTGACCTCCTGACCAATTACCCCACTCCCAACCCATGCTATATCTGAAGCAACGCCTCGGGAATGAATTTGCTGTGTATTCCTGAACCTATCAGCCAAGCTTGCTGGGTCTGTCTCCCTGTCTGTAATGTAAGCCTCTTCTCTAAAATCCTCTGGCTAATACCTGGGTTATGGGGGCTATGGAATGTCAGATGAGTTTGAGTATATCTATTCAGATAGAACAACATCATCAAGGACAACATACTAAGAACATAAGTGGGTTTACCAGTATAGTCAGACCCTCCTCTGATTACACTGGGCACAGGAAATACTTTCTATTCTCCAGGGAATCTTGACAACTTTTCTGAGGTAAAGTCTCCAACCTCCCTTCCAAGGCCCAATAGAGAGAACAACAGCATCGGACATAGTTACTTCTCTCTCTGGCAGGACTGGGAAAGAGGCAGCATTTGAGAAGGGCATTGTTCCCTCCTTTACCTTGTCTCCACAGGCTTAGGACTTGGGAGATGGCATATGCCTGTAGTCCCCACCCTCAGGAAGCTAAGGCATATGAATGAACAAACCTGACTCTGGCTGTGAATAAAAATCTGGAAGGAGTCTGTGCCTACAGAGACTGATGGACTGATTAGAATTCAATACTGTGGAAAGATTGGAATTTTGTAGGATCAGATACTAATTACTTTATCTTGGACTAGTTTATCTCGGGCCTTCTGGAATAGCAATTCCTTGACCCACTCTATATCTGAACATCTTGTGATGGTAATAAATAAGACCTCTTAGAAGCTATTAAGTTAGCAGAACACTAGCTTCCAACAATCCAAGATTAAGAGTATCATCAATAGCATTTGGGGACTATAAAATGGCTCTCACCATCTCACTGTACCAACCAATGTATCTTAAACTTGTCTTGATTTATAACTTTCTTTGTTGTGTAAAACTATAAAAAACCCTGTGAAACTGCCTCCACATTGGAACATGGAATTTGTGTTAACTTAATCTGTGTTCCTGGGTCTGTGGTCTTATTCCCTTGAAGATGACAGCTGTGGTTTTACGTTAACAAGTGAGAGACGTACTCAGCCAAGTGCAGCAGCTTAGCAGGAGACATAAAGATATCAAGGTAAAACAATCAACAATTAAAAATAAAGACTAAATAAGTGAGATGCAATAATGACAGAGAAACAGGAGAATACTTACGGGAGCTCAGCCAGACTCTCATATCCTCCCAGGCTCTCAGCCAGAGCAAACACCTAGCAAAGAAAACAGGAATTTAGAACAGCTGGTAATAGTGCTAAAATCTGAAAATGAATGTTTTTGATGAAATTTCTGTTCCAGAAGGAATGAAAAGTGATAGTAACTATGAATAAATCAAGAATCAGGCAAGATACTAAGAAAAAAGTCATATTAAAGCCTAAGACAATGATTTCGACAATTAGATGTACTGTCTTCAAGCCTTTAAAACAATGAAAGTTTCTGGTCTTTGAAGCTGGGACTGTCATTCTATCACTCAGGAGACAGAGGAGGAGGATCTCTGTGAGTTCAAGGCCACCCTGGACAACATAGTGAGACCTTATCTCTGTGAACTTTACATGTTGAGGGCTATAGCTAAGTGGAGGTGCTTGCCTGGCATGTCCAGGATCCTGAGTTTCATCTCAGCACTACAAAAATCAATGAATCAACAATAAACTGACCAAAGTGAGCCTTCTGCATCATCCTTGTTTAGACAATACTTAAAAAAATCTACACATATCAAATATGCTTAAGATAGATGTTGGCTGTAGTACCACCCAGGAGGCAGAGACAGAAGAATAGATGTAAGTTCAGGGCCAGCTGGGGCTACACAGCAAGTGCTTAGGGTTCTAGACTATGGAATGAGTGAGTCTTAAGAAAAGCAACAAATATATACATATTACACTTAAATTAACACCTGCTTTAACTGCCTATGGAGAAGACTTCCATAGTCCATGGTTCTCTTGGTTTGCACATGGTCTTTCCCAAGGTTGGCCAAGTGATGTGACGAGGGGCAGGTCCTGCAGAATGACAGCTCTAAGAGTGTAAATATTGGGTGCCACTGAGTCATGCTCATCAAATTAATGGTGCCTGGAAAGCCTAAACCCTCTGTCCTCTTGCTCCCACATGCTCTTTTTACCTCTGACAGGAGATTTGGTCCCTTCAGCCACCAGAACTATACCCTGAGTGACCTACCTGGTTTGGGTGAGCCTGGTCCTACCAAAGCTCATGGGTTAGAGTAGAGGTGATATACCTTTAAGAAGTGGGGCTTGAGGCAAGGCTTTGAGGTCACTGAGGAGAGAACTAACCAGGATACTGCCAGGTGCCATCAGAACAAGCCTGCTCCGAGTTGTCAAAGGCCTTCCTGACTGGTGACTGTTCTCACTCCCACACATTTGCCACCAGAACTTAAGGAAGGAGCCACCTAACTCTGAACTTATGCTTTTGGACTTGAACAGCCAGTGAAGTAAACTTTTATTTATAAAGTAGCCTGTCTGTGGAATTTTGTAATAGAAATGAGAAGAAAAAAAAAAAGAAATGCTGATATATCCAGTCTTGGGTATTATGCCATGCAATAAGAACTAAGACTGTGTTACAGCACCATAAAATTCACTCCAGATTCTTACTGTGGCCTAGCCTCGTGTCTCAGACTTACAGGATCACATGACCCTTCTGCCGCCATATCCCAAGTGGCTAGAACTACTTAGTTTAATTTTATTAAATGTCTGAAGTTAATCTTAGAGACAGATTTCAGCCAGGAGAGCTTTGCTTGGTCTTATGGGAGTGACCTGCAGGCAGAAAGCCTGGGAGTGAGTGTGAGCTGCTGAAAGGAAGTCTTAGAGGAAAGTCCAGTCTTGAGCTCACCTTTAGACTTTTGAGGAAGGTCTTGGCATGCTGCAGAGCACCCTTGATATAGAAAGTGACCATCCCTGGGCAGCCGGTGCACTGGCGTTTGGCCAGCTCATGCTGAGGGTGAGAGGGTAGCCCTGCAACCACAGAGCACAAAAATTTATTCTAGAGCCACACATACAACTTCAAAGGAGCAAGTTCACTGACCCCTAAGTCTATTGAAAGTAAGTCTGACAATGGGGTAGTGCAGGTCTTTCTCCCCTGTCCAGTACTGTAGACATGTCTTCTACATCCTCCCATGCCATGCTCATGTCTCTTCTCTTGACTCCATCAGCCTGTGCTCCTCTCATTCAAGATCTCTGCAGGTCTGGACTCTCTTGTTAATCACAACCTTTTGTAATTCCTTAATTAGCGTATTTTAGAAACATGACTATCTTCATGAGTGCAAATTTATTCATTTTATTAATATTACATTCGTATTCCTAGGAGAAATCCATGCCCAACAGTTGTTGGATGCCTCTGGAAATACTTGACCATGAACGTCAAACAAGTGCTATCCACTCCCTGGGGCATAGATCAGAGCCCTTCTTTCTCCCTGTATCCGAAATATACCCCAGCAAGCAGGGTTTACCAAATGACAGGTGGAGATCTGAGCTCCTATACATTTCTACTTGGGCTTACCCAATTTCCTTGAAGACAAAAATCTTAACTACCTGTACTCATATCCATCCTGTGGCCACAGGATCTAAGAACAAGGCTGCATAAGCCCATGGTAGCTTACCTGCTAACATAAACTCAAGGGGAAACTGAGCCTGTGGATCCACCTGTAAAGGGCCTGAGGAGAATTCTGGTATGTCAAGTCTTACTGGGACAATGTTATGTCAGATTATAGTAAGAGCTAGTGTTGAACAAGTGACTGGCAGGGCCATCATCCAATTAACCAGAATTATCCTGTGATGGGATATACACAAGCTTCAGATGCAGAAGCATTTCGCATGTGAAGCTGTTCTTAACACCTGCCATTCGTTGCCTTCAGACCAACATCTTGTCTATCCACGTCCCACCATGCTCATTCCAGAGCCTGACACAGAATGACAATAACCAATGAACAATGTAAAATTACACAAAAACAGAAACTCAGGAAGAATGACCCACATAAAGTCTTAATCTAAACAGAGATGCTGAGAACTCAGGTTGACATACCAGGATAAATAACCTTCTCTACCCGGGGATTGGACTCCAGGAAACGGGCTACTGCCATCCCATTCTTGAAATGCTTTTCCATCCGGATCTGCAGTGTCTTCAGGCCTCGGCAGCAGAGGTAACAATCAAAAGGAGAAGGAACTGCCCCGAGTGCTAGAAAACAAAGCTTGGATTAGCTTGGAGGAACCATGGGGCTTAAGGAATCCTATGGTTCCTCTTTTTCAATAGAGTGACTCAGAAAAATCTAACTATGAAAAAGATCAACGTTTGTGTTTTAAGGAGTTGCTATGTTAAGCTGGAAGCATTGAACAGAACCAACACTGCACTGAGGGAAATGTGCTTTAACATAGAGACATGGATAGCAAGGTGAGGCTTTCAGCCCGGAGTAGACGGTCCTTTATGATTCAGTGATAAGATCTTCTGCATAGTATGGCCCTCACATCATTGAGATACACCACGGTTCTTTATGATTCAATGGCATGACACCTCAGATAGTGTGGGCCTTCACATCTTTGGGATGCATGACAGAGAAAAACCTGCAGTGTGCTCGTGACTACTGTTACACAATCTACTGACTAACAATATACCTTATTTCTGCTCTTAAAGATTTTATTTTTGTTTGTGCATGTGAGTGCAGTACCTAAAGAGGACGGCCAGGAGAAAGTCAGACTGCCAGAGCTGGAGTTACCGGGCCTAGGGAACCTGACATGTGGTACTGGGAACCACATGCAAGGAACAGCTCCTGCTCTTAGCTGAAGAGTTATCTCATTCCTATTTATTTATCAAGCAGTCAGTCAACTCCCCTCCTCAACCCCTTTACTTATTTTAGGAGTGATTTCTAGAAGAGTATTTTAATTTCTTATTACGTCTGACTCTTATCTGCCAGAGTATAATGATCACCTATACTCAAGGTAAACTGAACCAACTACCAGGAATGGTATTTAATGTATACAACAATGAATACTACTCAGTGAGTGCTACTCAAACCTAGCCACCATTCCATGTACTTTTGTAATGAACCAACATTTCAATGTTTAAAATAATACACTGAGTCTTAAAAATTCACTTGGGTTTCAACAATTTTTTTGAGCAAATAAAAATATTCACTCCTTAAATGAGGTACAAAGGTCATGAAATCTTGCTGGGCTCTGACTCTATTTATTTCTTTATTTATTTGAGACAGGGACTCTCACTTTATAGCCCTGACTAACTTGAACCTCACTATAGCTTGCTATGTTATAACTGTTTATTTGTTTGTTTATAAGAGGCAAGGTCTCACTTTCTGAGACCTCACTGTGTTAGAACTCACTATGTAGACCAGGCTAGCCTCGAATTCACAGAAACCTTCTTGCCTATCAAGTATTAGGTGTAACTCTTTCCTTTCTCTCTCTCTAAATGTGTTACAATATTTTGTGGAAGTACAAATATCCAGTGGCATAACAAGAATCCAGACTTAGAGAGCTGCAGAGATGGCCCAGCATCCAAGAGTGCTTGCTGTACAAGACCAAGGGATGGGATCTCTGTACCCAAGTAGGGAGCTGTATATGGACTATGTTCACCTGTAATGCCAGTGCTGTGCTTGAGCAGAGACAAGAGGATCCCTGGGGCTTAGCTAAAGGTTTAAGGGGTGACCCTGCCTCTCTAAGAATTAAAGCAGAAGGTGTCCTGCACATACACATCACACACACAAAGAGACCCAGGTTTTTGACCACTTACAATTCTGCAGGAAACGAAGTCGGTTATTGAGGTCATCAGAATTAACAGACACTAAGCCCATGAGCACATCGCTGTGGCCTAGAAAAAGACAAGAATGTCACCATCAGCAACAACTCATGTTTATTTCATAATTTCCAAACGGTCAGGAGTCATCTAGGATAGGCTAAGGCTAGCAGGTGGCCTTCCTGGAAGAGGCCCATCACCTTTGCATGGCTTACAATGGGTGAACTCTGAGAGGTAAGGTCCCAAGAGATCTCATCCCAGGATTGCTTCTCGTAGTTGATATCCCTTTCCTATCACTATTACATAGTTTAATGATTCCTGGGCATCAGTCCACACTATTGGGCAAATTTCCTGCAGAGAAACACGAAGGTGAACTTTCATGAGTTAACACTGTTTTGATGAATTAATGATTTTATAGTATTCCTGATTTGATTCAAATAATTTTAGAAAGAAACGCTTAAGAGATGGTTTTTAGTTGTTCTGCTAGAAAGATGTAATAAAGTTAATATTGAGAATAGAATGTTCCCATTCCTCATAAATAGTAAGTAAAGGCTTCATAATAAGAAATACAATGAGTTTTCATAATTACACTAAAAAAGAGGCTTGGGGGAAATTTATGCTCAAGGAAAAACCCTGAGGTCCAAGGATGAAGCCACAGGTGTGCACTATGATAAAGCAAAGCCCTGTAAAACTGTTGCTTTGAACTTATGAGCTTGCAGTATGAAACATTGCTTTGAAATTCATATTGATACCTTTCCATAACTCCCCTTTCATGTAACATTTTATCTATGAGATAATTCTTTCTTAGAGAACTTTTTGTCTAAAAGGTATAAAAAGGCTGACACCAATAAAGAAAGGCAGTGCAGCACACACATTTCCCAGTGTGTATGTTGTTTATGTGAGAAAAGAAGTCCCTTTTTTAATTAATTTATATTTATTTATTTATTTATTTATTTATTTATTTATTTTGGTTTTTCAAGACAGAGTTTCTCTATGTAGCCCTCGCTGTCCTGGAACTCACTCCGTAGACCAGGCTGGCCTCAAACTCAGAAATCTGCCTGCCTCTGCCTCCTAAGTGCTGGGATTAAAGACGTGTGCCACCACTACCAAGCTTAATTAATTTTTTCATTGGATATTTTATTTACATTTCAGATGTTATCCTCTTTCCCCATTTCCCCCGACCCAGAAACCCCCTATCCCATCCCCCCTCCTCCTGCTTTTATGAGGATGTGCCCCCACCCACCCACTCCCACCTCCCCACCCTCTAATTCCCCCACACTGAGGCATCCAGCCTTCACTGGACCAGGGATCTCCTCTCCAACCTATGCCCAACAAGGCCATCCTCCCCTACATATGCAGCTGGAGCCATAGTACCTTCCTTATGTGTTCCCAGGCTGGTGGTTTAGACCCTGGGAGCTCTCGTTGGTTGGTATTGTTACTCTTCCCATGGGGCCGCAAACCCTTTCAGCTCCTTCAGTCTTCTCTCTAACTTCTCCATTGGGAACCCCATGATCAGTTCAATGGTTAGCAGCAAGCGCCCACCTCTGTATATGTCAGGCTCTGGCATTGCCTCTAAGGCTACAGCTATGTCAGACTCCTGTCAAGCATGGACTTCCTGGCATCCACATCAGCGTCTACCTTTGGTGACTGCACATGGGATGGATACCCAGGTGGAACAGTCTCCAGATGGCCCCTCCTTCAGTTTCTGTCCCATACTTTGTCCCCATATTTGTTCCCATGAGTATTCTGTTACTCTGTCTAAGAAGGACCGAAGCACCCACACTTTGGTCTTCCTTCTTCATGAGCTTCATGTGGTCTGTGAGTTGTGTCTTGGGTATTCCAAGCTTCTTTCCTTTTCTTTTCTCTTTGGTTCAAAAAGAGTTAACAAGCTCCAAGCCTCTTACCTGGCCAGCAAGAGTCTCCTGGCTGACTCACCTGGCAGAGAGAGAGAGAGAGAGAGAGAGAGAGAGAGAGAGAGAGGGAGAGGGAGAGGGAGAGGGAGAGGGAGAGGGAG